GAGGAGAAGAGAGGAGAGAAGAAGGGATCAGGGGAGAGGAGAAGAGAAGAGGAGAGCAGAGGAAAGGACAGGAGAGGAAAGGACAGGAGAGGAAAGGAGAGAAGATGAGGGAACAGGAGAGAAGAAAGGAGAGGAGAGGAGATTAGAAAGGGAGGAAAGAAAAGGAAAGGAAAGGAGACGAGAGGAGAGAAAGAAGAGGAAAGGAAAAGCAAGAGGAGAGGGAGACGCGAGGAGAGGAAAGGAGGAAAGGAGCGGAGCGGAGGGGAGAGGAGAGGCGCCGAAAGGAGAGCAGAGGAGAGGGGAGGAGAGGAAAAGAAAAGGAAAGAAGAGGAGAGGAGAGGGAAGAGAGGAGAGAGAGGGAAGAGGAGGAGGGGGCATTGTTGTGGCCTTGGACTTTTGCCGCTTCAAGGCTAGGAGCTCAATCTGTATGGTGGACACCTCGGGCCCGGAGCCCGTCACCAAGGGCACCCCAGGACTGTACCTGGCGACGCAAAAGGTGGATGAAATACCCCACTCAGTTTGACGGATCATGGGTCTTTGTTGGCCCCCGTCCCCGAGCTCGTTGCAAAGCTACAGAGAAGTTTGAATTATGACATAGCTGAGCCCACGTTTTCCGTTTTGGCCTGCCAAAAGCCACAAGAAGTCCCAAACGCTGGTTGAAACTCACGGTGCTATGTCAGCCGGGCCGAGGTGCACGATGTTGGTCGCCTCCGCATCTTGGTTGCTTTCCCTTCTGGACATGCGGCGGTGCGTGGGAATCCTACCTAAGTGGAAGCGTGGGTGGCTAAACGCCCACACCCGTAGGATAGGCGACCCTGATTTACGTCATGCGCGGGAGAGTTTCCGCCAAATGGCTTCCCTAGTTTTGGCAAAACAACATCTGAACTCGCTTTTGCAAACCAAACCCGTCTTCGCAAACAGCACCAAGTTTGGAGACTGGAGTGAGAACAAAAAGAGAAAGACGCTAAGAGCCGACTTCCTCAGACATATTCGTGGAAAGTGGCTAATCTCGGGATCTTCCGATTGCAGGGCGTCCACCTCTTGGCCTTTGGCCTTTGGCGACGCGGCTGCACTTCTTTCATCCGGCTCGTCCATGTGAAAGGAGGGCAGCATCTGGAATTGTCTGAGGTTGGCAGGCACGGACTGCCTGCGGGGCGTACTCTCCTTCGATCTGCTTGGGCGCACCCGGGCAGTGGGGCTGGCCGGGCTTGGGCTGGCCGGGCTGGGGCTGGCCGGGCTGGGGCTGGCCGGGCTGGGGCTGGGGCTGGCCGGGGCCGGCGTGGGACTGGGCGAGGGCGAGCGCTCGCGCTCGTCCGTGGTCACGGTGGCCCCGCTTTTGTTCGACAAGCTCCGGCCGGTTCTGGCCCCGTCCTTGGTGTTTTCCCTGCTCTCTGAGTCTGGGGGGGCCAAGGTCTTGGGCTTCTCGGCATCTTGCCTGCGCATGGCCAAACCTCCCACAAGCTGGCCATGGCTGCGCCAACACGAGATCTGACAATTCAAAGGATTGGGTCACAGGAAATTCCACCGGAAAACAGCTTGTTTAGGGGTGTTGTGGGGCCATCTCCTGTAAATCCTCCTGTGGCCAAACCCTTAGGATGATTCTTCGAACTCTGAACACCATCCATAGCAACTACATGTTGCTCAGGTTCAGAAGCCGCTCCCTCCCGGCCAGGCCTGGAGTCCTTGTTTGATAAGATCGCCCTGTCTGCTCCAGTCATGCCTGGGGCATCGGAAAGCCAAAGCCCTGCTGCGCCAACACTGCATGCCAACGTGGACACACTGACGCACAGACACCCCGGATCCTCCAGACTGATTATTTTCTTTGTTGCAGAGGAATCCACAGTATCCCCAAAGGCCTGGCTGCAAAGCCTGAACCCAAACCCTAAAACACACTTCCAAACTCGAAATCCCAAACAGCGAAACACCGACCCGCTTACATCTCCGGTTGCGCCCACAACCGACCGACCGACCGCTCGTGCTGGCGCTCCTGAGATGTCGCTGTGGCGTCTCCTCATGAACTTCTCGGCCGCTTCCGCGGTGCGGCTCGCCCTTCGGGACGCCGCTCCCGGGGCCTTTTCACCTGGCACGGACTCCTTGAGCCCCCCCCCAAAAAAAAAAAAAAGTACAGGCGGTAAGAAAAGATGTGGGTTTTAGGCAACCACGCACTGGACATGGAACGTATATGAATGATGCAAACATCCTGAATGAAGGAGTTTACATACCATGCATTGGCTATCTTTCCGCAAGATCGATCACTCATGGGCTGCCACAAGTGCGCCCGAAGTGAGTCGGAATTTCATCGTCACTACAAACTCTCCTTGAACCAAAGGAACATGGGCCTTCCAGCGCTTTTTGCGCTCCTTCATTTCCGAGACCCCCCAAAATGGAGCACCGAAAGCCTCAACCCTCGCCCCTAAGCAAGCAGCAGTCGAGCAAAAGCCGGCACCTGGCTTGAGGGGGATCTTCATCGACTTCCCAAACCTCGAGGCAAAGCGAAATCGCTCTGTCCAGACTGATCCCCTAAAAGTTGCGTCACTTTGAGTGGGCAAACCCCAAAAAAACTAAGGGGATGGCTGGGAACCACCGAGAAATGCCGGGTTCCCGGTCAAGCTGAAACACCTCGTGTGCAGGCGAGCAGCGCTACCACCACCTTGTACCTCGGCTGCGTGATCAGCCGCCCGTTTCTTGGCGAGCGTGTTTGCCACCAAAGCGCTTGATCTCCTCTTCGGGCTCTTCGTTCTGCTCTAGCTTGAACGTCTTTTGCCTCAATTCGGCTCCAACGGCTTGCGCCTGCCTTCCCATTCAGCGCAGCGGTGCTCAAAACTGGTCGACTCCTCCGCGGAGCTTTCGCGTGCGGGAGCTTTCATGGCGGCCACTTGAAATTCGCAGGGCAGTTTTCTGCTCCCCTGCTAACTCTTGGTGGTTTAATGGAGAACCCATTCGTTGGCAAAAAGTTGTTCAGTCCTAACATCCAAGCAAAATGCACCAAAGAAGAATGGTACACCAAATGCACCTAGCTCCAGCTTGAAAATCGAAACTTTTCGGAAGCGTTGCACACCAAATGCACTGAGACCCATGCCTTTCGCGGGCAATCCCCCCCACCCCCCGCATGTTCGAAACTGGCAATTTAGGAAAACTGCTTCAACAAATGCATCGCGGGGGTTTGGGGTGCTCACATGACACGTGCCTAACTTGCGCCCAGCGGCTTCCTGAACTTCCGCGCCAGGCGCTTCTGAAGCTTACCTCGGGCGGCGGTTTTGGAACGCGGCACCTCTTTCCTCGGCGGCCATGGACGACAGACCTGACCGAGGCTCGAAGCTCCGCGGCGGGCTTCTCGTCCGCGGAGGGGTTCGAGTCGGAGCCGCTCTCGTCGTCGTCCTTCCCCTCGGAGCTCGCGGACCGGTTCCGCGCCGACCGACGAGGAGCGGCTTTTTGCGGCCGCGCGGCGCGGCCGCACTTGCCGCTGATGAGCTTCGCGAGCTCCCACTGTGCCATCTCCGCAGTGAGGCGGTGGTAGTGGAGGTGGGGCCACTGCTTGGCTTCCTGGGCCCGGCCACGACAACCGTTGTAAAGACTTCAACGAAAACTGGTGGGACCCACCTTCCTGGCACAAAGCCAAAGTAGCCAATCATCCTGGCTTGTTTCACCATTGCATTTGACCGAGGCGTCTTCAACCAAACACGCCACGATGGCCGATGCTCCAGCCTCCCCAGTCTGTGTCCCAAGCGAATATTCAGATTTGGGGGGTTGATCAAACGGTCCTTTAGAGCATTGGTTGGAAATCCACAACAAAAATGCCCCCTACTCAGATTACCTTTTTTTTAGGGTATGATGTCGACCCTCTACTAAAAAAGGAGGTATTTACCATGGAAACCCAGGTTTGTCCAACAAAACCCTAAAAAAACGTGGGTATTTGGAGTAGGGGGTGGAACTTCCCACATCGGGAAAAGTTACCCCTGGTCCAAACTGGTCAGCCCCCAGATAGGTCGCAGGCGCCGGTCCGTTGAGAAGGTCCCCGGCGTCCCCGTCCGCAATCGGCAGCTCCAGCTGCCACACCGCGCCTAAGCTGTCCGTCGGGGGTGGGAGCCAGGGCGAGCCTATTCGCCCGAAAAAACCTCACCCCAGCACCTCCCCCTTCCCAAGAAAGAAAGGCAAACTCTTTGCTTTTTTCCTATTTGGTCCGACAGGTGTTGTTGAACCCTACCACCAGCGATAGCTGTTGGAATGATGGGAGCTGCGCCAAACGCAGAACGCTGCGCTAGCCACTTGTGACAGCTACTGCAAGAACGAAACCCAGTGATCCCAGCGCTCCGCGCGCAACCCGTGGCAGCAGAGGCACAGATTGCCCGTCCAATGACCGGCCCGGCGAGTTCCAGTCGGGAGGCGTTGAACTCCGCGCGATCTGCTTCTGCTTCCCTCTCTTGCTTTGCCCTAAGCCCAACAAGCCTCACCCCACCCACCCACTCCCCCACAGAAGAGACGCCAGAACCACTGCTGGGGATAAGGGCCGAACAAACCAAAAGCAAGTCCTTGCCGGGGGGCTTGTGCCGGCCCGGGCTGACGGCCCCTTTGCCAGTTCCAGGTCCTTCCGCCTGGAAAACTATCATGCAAAAAATATGCGCTCTTTTCCGTGGCATCGAATGGCCTCTGGCTCGGTCTTCGAGGTCCTGCCAGAGTGGCAGATATGCTGAGTCGATGCATTGACCGCGCAAGGGCACAGGACGCAGTGTGGCAACACGAACTTTGCGACAGTGCATTCCTTGAGGCAAGCCTGGCTCTAACACGAAAGCCTCTCTAAATGGCCAGTACCACAATGCAAAATCCTCGCGCAATCAATTGCCCTTTGTTTAGCTTGTTGCGGTAGGGCTTGTGTTTGAGAGATAGGGATACAAACAATGAGACAGAGAGAGAGAGAGAGCGAGAGAGAGAGAGAGAGAGAGAGAGAGAGAGAGAGACCTGAAGACACCTCACTGTCTTGTTTGAACGGAGGCCACACGACAAAGGAGAAATGTCGTTGGCTCTATTTGCAGTCATCTCTTCGATCGCCACATGTCTACTCTCTGCCATCGAGGCAATAAAGGTTGTCCTGTCACAGCGAATTCCCCAAGCCTCAATGACTCAGTCTCCCAGCTGTTCGTTGACACTGCCGAGCGCCAAAGTGTTGCACTAAAGATGCTTCAGCTGTCTTCTGTGAGAGGGTAAGACTTTCGTGTGCGGGCTTCCAGCGGCACTCGCTCTGGGGTTGTTGGTGATTACGCTCCGCCTTCGGCAGTGTGCAATGTTTGCCTTCGTCCGTACGAAATGCCTGGCTCAGCGATTCCGCAGGTATCACCACCTGATCCCGACCTGTCTGCGTCTCATGGTCCGGTGAGGCCTTTGGCACACTGTGATGGGGTGGTTTGTGAAATGTGTGCTAAAGATGTCTAATTACCTTGAGGGAATATGCAGGAACAACTGCAAGCTGGCCACAACGCATATCAGGAGAAGCGGAGAAGCCCATGCCTCGCCTCTGGTTGGAGTTCTCGTCCGCCTTCTCAGCACTTTTCTCGGACTCACTTCCGCTGGAGTTGTGAGAATGGTGCGGCTTCCTGCGCCGGGTGGAGTTGTGAGGCTCGTTTGAGCGCGCGGCTGAAGACTTGGCGAGCCTTGCAATGAATGACAGCGACACGTCCTTGGTCTCTGAGTCTCTAAGAGCTCTAAGTGTAGCCCTTGCAATGGCACGCTGCCACTTGATTGCGAGTGTGCATGCTCTACAACTAAGCCAGGACTCTGTTCTGGATCCTTTTCCTTGGTTACACAAGTGCGGCTGGCTGAAGACTTCCAGGTGAAACAAATAAAAAAGCGCGGCGTCCGCCCGCTCCCCATTTGGCTCACGCCAGGATGCGAGCTCTGAGGGCGTCGCGACCTGAAGCAGTGCTGATGAACAGGGTTCAGATTCTTCAACAGATCCAAAGTGTTGCAGTGATCAAGAGCACCAACCACCAACCACCGACCGCCAACAACCAACCACCAGCCACCAGCCACCAGCCACCAACCACCGACCGCCAACCGCCCACCACCAACCACCGACCACCAACCACCAGCCACCAGCCACCAGCCACCAACCACCGACCGCCAACCGCCCACCACCAACCACCGACCACCAACCACTAGCCACCAGCCACCAGCCACCAACCACCGACCGCCAACCGCCCACCACCAACCACCGACCACCAACCACCAACCCAACCGCCAACCACCAACCGCCAACCGCCAACCACCAACCACCAACCACCAGCTACCAGCCACCAACCACCAACCGCCAACCACCAACCGCCAGCCACCAACCACCAACCAGCAACCACCCCCAACCGACACGTGCTTCCGAAGCTTCCGAACCTTGGCCACCTTCCGCTTGTGGCGCTGCCTGAGCTTGAGAAGATTCTCGCTTCCAGGCGGGAAGGAAACAAAGGCAGGTGCAAAAGGGATCCAAAGGTCAACAACCCTTCTCTCAAAACCCGCTCCACTCGTAGAAGCTGGGTCAGGCAAGCTTCTAATTGCAACAAAGCCGTCGCTGCTTCTTCGGCCACCATTGACCGCGCCCGCGCTTCTGGCTGGACGTCCTGCATGACCGATGGGGCTGACAAACCGATTGACCAATGGCAGGCAGCACCTTTGGCAGCCCAGCAAAAACACAGAAGATCTACAGGGACCGTCCCATCTCACTAAAGCTGAACAGAATGATGGGATTTGGGGGCTTGAGTCACAGTCGACTCGCCTCATGCTCCATATACTCTTGATCCTCGTGTTCGTGCTGCTCGTCTGGATCGTTTTGATCGAAGAGATCTTTTGCTTGTGCCTTGCCATTGCTGGCGAAAGATGCTTCCACCTTGGCTGCAACTTGGGCCTTGCGCCACATCTTTCCCCGCGCCGCGGCTCCGATGCTTTTAGCCGAGCGGCTGTGTAAGCGCGCTGAATTCTGAGTTGCAGAAACCCCACCAGGCGCGCTGTGGAGATCTTGGACTCGAAGACGTTAAACGCACACCTCGAGGCACTCACCGAGGAGCTCGCCGGGGAATGACCCATCGAATGGCCCTATGACATTTCGGCCAAGGGGCTTGTTCCACTTGAAGTCTGAAGATCCCAAGCAACAAAGCCTGCCGTTTCGTGAGAGGCACTGGCGACTGGCCGCTCGCGCAGAGAGGACTTTGCCAAACTGGAACCCTGGCTTCAACAAATCTTCGTGGAGGATCAGTGTCCCTTTGCCTGGGCCCCAAATATCCTGTGCAATCGTATTTGGGAAGCATCCGCAATGGAAGCTTGCGCGCCTTCGCTCGCGTCACGCGCCAAGCTACGTGAAATGGTTGGCAATAGCACCGACATGATAAAGAAAAACACGTGCATGTTGATTCATGCGAGCACATCTCAGGCATGATTAGACAGCTTTCAAGAGGCCCAGCCAGCCACCGCCAGCGGACAATGAGCTCTGTATATATATATATATATATAATTATATATATATATATATATGTGTGTATGTATATATGTGTGTGTGTGTGTGCGTGTTTGTATGCATTGATATACCCAGCGAAGATGACCTTCCACCAGCACATGCTGCGGGCCATGCCGCAATGTCAAAGGAAATGTTGTTTTTGACATGGCAGTGGGAGACAACGGCTTGCCGGACAGCGCAGTCCGTGCAATCAAAACAAAGAGGCAGCTTGCCTGAAGGCTTGCAGCGTGCTTGATGCAAGTGCATCCCTCCAAGTGCAATCCGGAGGTCAAGCATGGCTGGCTTTGCCCGGCACAACCCAAAACAAGCTTTCCCGCTTCACAGCTTACCAGGTGCTTAACCCTGCTTCCACTGCAACTCCCGCCTTGGAAGCAGCTGAATCTCTCCGTTCCTATCCCGATCTTCGGCTTTCCCCCCGTAGAAGAAGATGCCTTCTTTCTTCGAATGCCCATGGAAGTCCTTGGGCCAGCGTGATTCCAATCGACAGGCGTCTTGGCCATGCTTCAAATCACTCAGCCAAAGCGGCGATGAATAGGTCCACGGTCCCTGCACTCTTCATGGCTTCCTTCAAGTGGTAGATTTCAGCATGTAACATCTTGTTGGGCTTCAAGTACACGCCTCAGCTACACTGCAGCAAGCGAGGCATCAACCTGGACCTAAGTGCAGCAAGACACGGTTCAGGTCTGTGCCAGCAAGGCCTGGCAAAGCGAGCGCCCGGAAAAACCATTGACTCCCTGACTCGAGTTCGGCCAATGATTCACCAATATGGCTGTAAAGTCTTAAGTTTCTGTGTAAGCCTTGCTCTAACCCTCAAAAAGCCCAGGTTGCTGAACCAACTAAATGGCCAACGAGGCTTTCGAGCCCTGACATGGCGCCGTCCCGTTTTCCGGCCAAAATTTCTCTGGACTGGGCAGCAGACTGCAGCGGTAGCAGCCACGGACCACGCCGTCAGGATTCAGCATGGGTACAATGAGCCACTTGAAGGCCTGCCACTCGCAACGCGAATTCAGCGATAGCACCGGACAGCTACGGGTCTACTTTTTCTCGGCTGCTTTCTGCTCCGCTGCTAAAAGTCTAACTTTTAGTGGTTTAATGAAAACCCATTCGTTGGCAAAAAGTTAAAGTCCTAACATCCAAGCAAAATGCACCAAAGTCTTGACTACCCCAGGCCCAGGCGTCTGGAAACGAACCACCCCTACCTTTGGCTAGTCAAAAAGCGGAACCCAGGACAAAAACTGGCAGATCCGCCGGACCTGCCGCAAAGCTTTGGCTTCTGCAGCGGGCGACAGCAAGAAGGAGATAAAGCCATGCCTGAAAACAAAACACTTGCGGATCTGTGTCCAACCGCCAGGCCAAGCCCATCTTGTGCAAGGTGCATCATCCAGGAGGCGTTGGATTCGCCAGGATGCACCCTAGCAGTAATCACGGCTAGACCTGAGAGGCCGAAGACATCGAAGGCACTGTATTCGATCACGCTGCATGTACGTAAATCCAGTGACCTATGTTGGAGGTTTGGATGACGTCAAATCGGCGCAAAGGTCAACTCGTCCGCTCCTCGTTGAAAGCCCGCGGGGACGTCGTCAGTGTCCACGTTCACGTCCAGCGCTTCGCATGGCAAACCTCCTGCGAACATGGGACCAACGAATGGAAAACAATGAAAGGATTCGTTTCGAGGTACGGAGGGAGAAAGGGCCAAGCACACGGACAAAGGAGCCACACATGCACCGAGGTGTTGCCAACGTGCAGTCCTATTGTATAGCACAACCTCAGGCGAGTCAGATACCAGGCATCAACTGGCGAAAGCAGCCGCAGCCCAATGCCATCAAAAAGATACATGCCGAGTCACACCCTTCTGGTGAACAAGCTTCCCGCATAGGGATGAGCCGCCAAGGAATCCAGATAGCTGCAGAGGTAGCTGTATGTGTAGGGGTAGTGGTACCTCGATCTAGCAGGCCGCCGGTGCAGGTACCTGAGACCCAAAGAAAATGCCAGCTAGGGGGCGCGAAGAAAACGGTGTCATCATCATATTCCCAGGTGTACGCAAAGGATAGAGTAAACCACTGCTTCTGCCCATTCCTCGGGTCAGTGTCAGTGTCAAACTTTTCCATGGCACCGCACCTATGTGCATCTTGCCATGCCATGCCCATGTGTGTTGTTCTTCGTGGCTGCCCTTCTTTCAAGGTACCTACAAGCAAATTATATGGCCAAATTCTCTTGATCACAAGACGCAAGCTGGCAGCCCAAGGCCGACATAAAACAGGCAACACCTTCCCAAGGCAGCCGAGCAACGATGAGAAAATACCCTTGCCATACGGATCGTTGGCCTTGTAATTGACCTGAGTGAACGATTGCCAGCAGAATGCCAGCATCCTGATGGACATCAATGAAGCGCGGGCTCAGTCTTAAGGACTGCACCTCAGAACATCCACGCTCCCAGCCTCTTTGGCCTTTCTCACTCCAGACGACTGGGCGCATACCCTTATCACCTCGGCTTGATCCACATTCAAGGCACATGAAGGACTGTCAAAAATATTTAGCCTGGTTGGGCACTGCAAAATATGGCGCACGCGCGCGCGTCCCACCTGCAAAAGGAGATTACTTGGACGCTGCCCGCACCCACCAATCGTGCCTCGTGTTCCCCGGAAGTAAATCCTTACTTGATCAAGGACGCGTGTAGGTGTTCTGCCAGCGGGGCTACTTGTGCTACGCACCCCGAACTGAGAGGCCAATCAAGTGCCGCTTAGTTGGTGGTTTGGATTGGTGGCTTGGGGATTTGAAACCCTGGTTCTTGTACAGGTTACATGCGAAGCCGCCTTTCACAACCGAGCCGGGCTCCAAGCCACCAAAAAACGAGGGAAGCTGAGCCAAAGTGCTGGCCAGGGCGCCAAAGAGCGAGCTGGATTTTGCCATGTTCGCCAGACGGAAAGTCACTTTGGCACCCAAAGCCCCTCCCCGTACCGCAAAATAAAACCACTGCGTGTACCCGTCCGTGTTCACGTCCACATCCACCTAGCAAAGAAAGAAAAGCTGCGACCGGAAATCCGGCAGCGCAGTTCAGCATGATTGGCTCTGACAGGGAGTCCAAGCCACCATGAGGGTATAGACAGACGGGCTTTCACACTGCGCCAAGGCCAGATTTCCACTTTCAAACCTGCAGGGCGCCAAGTTCAAGCGTTGCGGATTCCAGAAAAGCACAAGCTGCGTGAGGTTCGTCCAAGTCACGCCGCGGAGAATGCAAGCCTGGGCTTGCCATCAATCCCTGGGAATTGCTCCTTAGCATTGCCGTGTTCTCTAGCGCTTCAGCAGGCGCAGCCGGCCAAGAGGCGAATTCCAAGGATGCTGGCTCCGGCGGCACGCAGGCTCCTGAGCTTCGAGCGAGCCCACTCGCCATGGCATTGCGCGGCCAGCTGGCACCAAGGCTCCGAACTCGGTGGCGGGAAACCGTCCGTGGCAGGGCCTCTTGAGGAAGATCTGCGGCTTGGCCTCGCGCAGAACTCCGGCCAAGCCGCAGGCTCTGATCTTTGGTCTGAGGCTCCGGCCGGAGCCTCAGCCTCAGCGTCCTCGATGTCCTGCGCGGATGCAGAAGTGCAGGACGGCAACGGGACGGGCAACTCAGCCTGTCCTCAGTTCTCGACTGCTTCTTTCCAAACTTCTCAGAGAGCTTCTGCAAATACTCCTGCCACCTGAAAGAACGAACCCAGCGCTTTGAACTGCTCAACACGCCCGGGCCTGGCGTGTTCTTTGCCGCCGGACCTTTGCAGCCGACATGACTCTGCTCACAAGCTCGCGCGTGCGTCTGAAGGGGAGGAATGGACAAGGGACGTTCAAAGAAAAAACGATGGCAACGGTGGCTGAACCTCAAAGGGAATCTTGGGTTTAAGGCCGAAACACATCTGTGCAAGGTTCGGCCATGTTATTCGACAGTCTCTGGTCCATCTGGAGACTCCAAAGGATTTTTCCCACAAAAACCGGAATGTTCCCCCAAATCCAGACAAAACCCGGAATTGTCCCACAAAACCCGGAATTGTCCCACCAAAAGAAAACCTTTCCCACAAAAACCGGAGCCCAAATGCTTCGATTCGTCCACTCGCTGCGCCCCTGGCCGGTTGTACACGGTGCTGCCGTCCCGCTGCTTTGCCTCCAAGCGCGCCAGGTACGAGCCGATGCCCGCGGAGACGTTGTCCACGAAGTTGAGGTGACCCCTGGCGTTTGGCGCAGGTTTTGGGCCCTCTTGTGGTGGGCTTCAAGGGATAGTCTGCGGGGCTTCTTAGCGGTTTTGAGCGGGCTGCGTCTTTGTGAGTCTGCGGGTCTTTGCAGATCTTCGGCACTTTGCTCTTCTTGGATTGAAAGGGAAACGAAGCGGAATGTCCTAAAGAAGAAGAAAACGAATCGGGGGGTGGCCGCAAGTGTGGTGTGTATGTCTGTGGTGCGTGTGTGTGTGTGTGTGTGTGTGGGTGCGTTTGGGTGCTTTTGTAAGTGTGTGGGTGCGTTTGTGCTTGTGTGTTTGTGCTTGTGTGTTTGTGTGAGTTTCATTCGTGTTTGTGTGTGTGTGTGTGGGTGGGTGGGTGGGTGGGTGCGTGGGTGGGTGGGTGCGCGCGCGCGCGCGTGCGTGCGTGCGTGCGTGCCTGGGTGTG